TAAAATTCAATGGCTTGCCAGCAGAGGATCGATAAGCACCAACGAAGATCTCGTAAGCAGTCTCCCGGAGCTCCGAATGAGTTAAATTGCAGCCCAATTCACCAAACGGGGAGGGTAGATCAATGGAGGGAGACCTGCAGTTGCTTGCCATCTCTCTTCTGTCTCTGCTGAAGAGATGAGCCATTGTTCAGTCTCCTAACTCACTCTCGTGCCCTTTATTTCTTGTCTCTAAACTGTGATGATTCGATGAGTTTCGTTCTCCCTTGGCACATTCCCTGCAATCGAGAGAGAGAGAGAGTGGGAGGGAGTTAGTTCTACTGAAACTGAATTCCCGCCTTCACCCGGGAATTAAGAGCGCCTCCCCACAGAGCGCGCCCCACATGCACATTTCAGCGTGCATCGGGGTTGGGGGGTAACTCACACCTTCAGCGTCAGACCAATAGTAATCTGCCACGCCAGCCTATCCTTCCCCATTTTAAAATTAAGGTGATTGTTTTTAGATGGTGTGGCAGATTGCTATTGGCGGAGATGGCTTTCGCATGAGCAAAAGTAAATTACAAACTAGACCCCTTTATGTCCACTCGCTAACTTTTTCCGGGCCTAAGATGGTGGTTCCAGAATTCTCTTTCGCTCATTCAAGGATGGACAAAAGTGTCCGTCCAAAGATTTTTATCGGACCAGCTGGATATATTAATCCACGTCAGAGTTGCAGACAATTGGTTACGACACGACGTCAGATCTATTTTGAATAACTCCAACAATTTTCAACTTTTACGGGGTACATCTAATATATCTATTAGGGTCTGAGTTTTTTTTTTTTTTTTTCTTTCACAATCAAAAGAGATAGACTAAGAAGGTATTGTTTATTGAGTAAACGAGGTCACATTCAAGGAAGCTTCATTTTGGAGTTTCTCTCATAGGTATATGTTTATTGGCACTTTTGCTAATGTAGTGCTTAATGGTGGTTATGTATCATAAACGCCCTCATTAATTGTATTTTTCAGTTTTATAACTACATCAAGTATAAAATGTTTATTTAATAAACGTCAATAAAACCAAGTACATACTAAACTTATTCCTCCCCATTAAAGAATATATGAATAACACAACCATTTCTTTTTTTTTTATTATCAATTTCTTTTTTCATTATGGTTTCTGTTACGCCAATAATCCCTTTGTCTCACCATTGCAGAGAATAATAAAGGACGACCACTTTTTGGTGGTGACGAGAACAGGTTAAGGTTAGCTTTTATTATTTTTGTTTTTCAATCCAATTATTTTTTCTATTCTACCAATCGCACCTGTCATTTTTTATGTTCTTTTTATTTTCATTCTTACTTTTCTTTCACCAAACAAGCGCAGCCATTTCCGCCAATAACCCCCTATGTTTCTATTATTAAAACAAGTTAGCTTCTAAGTGTTCAAACAAAAAGTCTTCTTTGTTCTACCGATAACTTCATCAATGACTATGTTTAATTTTTAACATGAATTTGTTCATCTGAATCTGACTGAGGCTATAACTTACCAAAAAAAAAAACAACTTTTAACGTTTGAATGCATGAAGCTATTTGTTTGTATCTGACCAACATATAAAGAAAAAGAGGGCAATACTTGGCTTGTTAACTTTAGGTTAATGTGTTTCTTTCACATGTAGGGAGTTATTAACGTATTAGATTTAAAACCATATTTCATCTTTTTTTTATTTTAGTTTTCATATCCATTTCTCTCACAATTTGCATGCATCAGTGCATTGCACGTGCAATTTTGTATGTGTTTTATTAGAGTTTGTTTCTAGGATATTTATATATTAAACCTATTGGGTTGGCTTCGCTGTTGATGATTTCGACTTATTAATAAGGGTATGGTTATCAGGTTTGTGAGCTTTATTGCTTCTATTAATCAGTTAGGTCGCTTGTTCAAACAAATTATGTTCTCTACTCTCTTAGCCTCATAAAGATATTCGTGAATTTAACCTCTTTTGTCCTCACACTTGGGGTGAGCTACCTCATTCGATGATGGTTGGTGTGGGATTAATATTTTTATGATTATATATGCTCATGTTTCCCAAGCTTTCCAGTCTTTTCCAAAATTGTGAGAGAAAATTCACAATCTCTTAAGGTTTTTAACAAATGCTCATATAGTTGCTATGGAAGATTTGAAATCATGAGGTGCTTATTGTCTTGTATAAAAAGAACATTTCCCTTCTATTGAGTTTCAAACATTATATTGTATATACCAAGAATGATATTCATATTAAATTAGATTATAACTAGCTCCCATGGAGACAGCTGGTTTAGCTCAAGTCTTAGTCTTAGTTGGGTCATGCTTTTGACATTGTGAATGTGAGTCCCTCAATTAAGGTTGGTGTCTAAGAAGAACCATTACTTAGAAACTTGTGCTGGACATTTGGGATGCCCCATAGTAATTTCATGTATTTCATTCTCTCAACAAATTTTGCAATTGAACATTTTTACCGGTTTAGCAGCAGACTTTCAAGTTTCAATAACACATTTTCATCACTTAAGAAAGCTTTCTATCCCATAGTCCACGTTAGCCTTATAAGTAAAACCAACATATATTAGAAATGTGTTTATTACGTAAATCCATCTATATTATATTTTTTGTTTAATTAATATAACAGATAGCTCATTTATATTGCAAGGTCCCCAAAAAAGAGACATGCATTGAAACCATAATCACAATCTTATACCTAATAGAAAGTGAATGAGAAAATTTTCTCAGAATTTTGTGGATTCCAAATTTGATTAAAATAAACTTAAGTACAAGTGAGCAATATTGAAAAGTTTATATTGTTCAAAAGTGTGGATCAATTTCGCATTACAAACTAAAACCATAAAACCCCATATGCCTCCAAGCACAAGCACAACACCTCCAATGAGAGCTCTAAACACTTCATATGCCTTTGCCTCAACCAAGAATTCCAAAACTCTATGATTCTTATATCGCATGCATGGGCTATCATAGACTTCAGCAAACACACAAACACACACACACACACGATCAATGGTTGCAATTATAGTAACCTAATACTTAAATCCAAAAAGTCCCAACTCTCTATCTTTCATGCCATTTACTAAATAATGCTCTATATCCACTTGATAGGTTAACCCCTCATAAGCCATTAATTAATATTTCAGATTCCCTATAAGAGCATTAAAATTGTAATCTAAATACCATGTCAATCCATTTCTTCTTGGTGTTACCTACCTTCAATTCAAAGACAAAAAATGTGATTGTAAGAAATCGAGCACCATCACTTTGAAAATGCTCTATGTTGTTGGAACCATCCCCAATGTAGTAATATTGATGTAGGCCAAGTGTTGTTGATTCCTATGTAATATTAACCATTTTTTATAGCAACACTTTGAAAATTTAGAGGGCTTCCTTTCTTCTTCTTCTTCTTGATGTGCATGCTTATACACATTTAATAAATACATAAATAAATGCTCTTTTATCTTCTACATTACGTGTAGATGCCTCTAGAAACTCTTTGCAATTCTGAAAAACATTGTAGAAAACTCTGCATTAGGATCCAGTTCAATTACACAACCATAAGAATCCATTGCATCTTCAGCCTTTGCAATTCTTGTCCATCATTTTAAGATATAATCTGGAGGTAGGTGTTTTACTTGTTGCCTTTGAGAGAAAACATATAATGCATGGGGGCACACAAAATTGCCATAAACTCAAAACTTTTTACAAATGTAAATAATCGTTACATGTATTGGACCAAACGTCACAATATGCTCATGTGGTTTATCCGAGTATTTTACCTTATAATTAACCACGGTTCCAATCTCAGCCACATCTTTAATAACAAAATCATGATTTTCTGAATATTGCGTCTCAAACTCCCTATACATTGTTGGAGTATATATAGATGCGGCATGCTTGAACATTTGTATTGGAAAAGCCAGGTGAAGAGTGATTTGACTCTTCACTTCCGTTTCTAACTCTACAACTCTTTCCAAGTATTTAAAAAAGCAACATAAATCCAAGTAAGTTTAGATATCCTCTTAATGAATTGTTCATGCTCTCACTACTCTTTTGTGTAGTTTTCATATCAACACAAAAATGATGTTTGCAACCAAGTATTGTCTATCAAATCATATTTTTCATGCAAAGTCTTAAGAAATTCATCTTCTTCTTCATATTCATACTATCAAAAAGAAGAAATAACAACAGAAACATGCTTCAAATGCTTAGCTGCATTTTTATATATATGCCATATGCAAAGACGATGGCATGTATTTGGATTGCATTCGCCATTGCTGGGTCTTGATCAGCAAGAATTGTCCTTGGATATTTTCCAGACATTACCTTCAAAAAGGACTAAAAAATCCACTTAAAAGACTAAATGCTCTCATCATACATTAATGCGGCTCCAAAAAGAATAGTTTGCTTATGATGGTCAACTCCAACAAAGAGGGCAAATGGTCTCTGCTCATCATTTGTTCTAAAAGTATTATCAACATAACCAAAATAGTTGTAGCCGGCCACCATTCTTGCATCTGCCCAAAAGATGTTGGTTATTTGACTACTCTCATTGTCAACTTGAATTGAATGAAATGATGGCATGTTATCTTCTTGCTTTTGGCCGTATACCTGAATCATCTGCGATATCTGCTTGAAAAGCTTGTGTGATCTTGTTATTTTTCTTTGTGATCTTATAGTGTATAAGGAAATTGTCATCCCTCATTATTTGATAAATGGTATTTATTCACTTTAATAAATTCACATATAAGGAGGATTAGGTGGTTGGTTATTGAGGCTTGAGAATTGACATCATTACAGATTCACACGTTTTATTGTAACAAAAGTTAAAAGTGTAACCTCATAATTTTGTCATAAAAAAGCTGGCCCATGCAGGTCTCGAACCTGCGACCTTCGCGTTATTAGCACGACGCTCTAACCAACTGAGCTAATAGGCCACAGGTGATACATTTTTCAGTTCAACTATGTCAAACAAACTACCACAGTGCAGCTGCAGCCGATTCATTTCGATGATGCGCCTATCGATCGGAGTGTATCGAGTCGACGGACATGTTTGTAATCACAAGCTCTCATTTCTCAGTGACTCAGACTCAGCAGTTGGTTTGGAGGGAAGTATAGCCATCGAGGAAAAAGGTGTAGGAGATCCGGAGTCGGTTCGGAGACTTGACTGATCAGTAACCAAAATCATGATGATGCCGCAAATCACGTTAAGTTGCGCCTAGATTGAATTGTCGACCTGTCTCTCCCATCTTGTTCATCCAATCAATCCCTAGCTTGCTTGAGAATTCACCAGCATACCACGGGTACCAGGTATGAATCTTCACTGCGGTTGGTTCCCAGTAAAATCTAGGGTTTCAAATTGGCATATTTCATGAAATGAAGTTTCCATCTTTTCCTGTGTAAAAGGATTTTAGGTTTGTGACGCTTTATGCCATCTTCGGTTCGGTTATATATATATAAAGAGAGAGAGAGAGAGAATCGCTCTTTTAGTGGAACTGGAATCATTTTGATACACAGTTGTTTAGCTTCAAGAAGAAAGAAGAGCATCCATTTATGGAAAAACTGGGGGATGATGAAATAGGGTTGGTTCTTAGCCGGGTTTTCGATCTCAATGATAGGAAGTCCTGTGCACTGGTCTGTAAGCAGTGGTTGAGGGTGGAGGGTCTGACACGTTCCTCACTACGAGTCTTAGAGCCCAAGCTCCTCCATAAATTCTTACCCAGGTTCCCAAATTTGGCCACTTTCGGAGCAGGTAGAGGCATTACTGATACAGACCTCGAATTTGTAGCCCAAACATGCCCAAATCTTCGGGTGCTTAACTTGAATCTTCGACAGACAAAGAGGGTTCTTGAGGAATTCGATGCGTTGGGCTTAGACGACGTCGGGGACGATGGGATCTCTGCGGTTGCAACTGGGTGTCGGAGTTTAGCCAAGGTTTGTTTGCGGCGTAGGAGGGGAATTGGGAATGTTGGGGTTATTACTCTTATAAAATCATCCCAGAATTTGACTGCTTTGGATTTGACCAAGTGTGAGAAGGTGACGGATCAAGCTCTTGAAGCCATTGGAGCTGCGACTTCGTTGCAGGTTCTCAACTTGCAGGGCTGTTCATTGGTTACTGATTGGGGGTTGGCTTCATTGGCCACGGGATCTTCCTCGAGAACGTTGAAGAAATTGGTACTAGCTGAATGCGATCAAATCACAGATGTTGGGGTATCACTGTTGCAGCAGATGTATCAGCTGGAAGAATTGAACTTGGCGGAATGCGGCCCCAAAGTCACCGACGTGGGAGGCGTAGCAATAGCGGCCATCCACACACTTGAGCGACTGGACTTCTCGTGGCTGATCAACATCTCAGACGTAACACTGGTTGCAGTTGCTCAGAACTGCTGCAATCTTGTTGAGATGGACGTGACCGGCTGTGAATTGATAACAGGGGCAGGCATTCGAGCCTTCTCAAACCATGAAACGCTGGAAGTTCTGGTGCTGGCATCTTGTTACAATGTGTTTGGGGATGATGTGGAGCAGACGGTGGTGGAATGCCAGTCATTGAAGTATGTTGGGCTGGATAAAGGACTGAGGATGTGGATGCCCACGGTGATGCAAGACAACATCAGGAGGTTCTGTATATTGGCCTGGCGATGACATCGTCCCTTGTCGGTTAGCAACCGGCGGGTCGCAACTCGCAAGAGAATCCTGTCACCGACTGATCGTGGGAGATGTAATTTCTTCCTTTACTCTTTTTACTCTGGCGTATTTGCCCAATGCTCACTGCATTGCTTTCCTTCACCTTCACCTGTTGATGTTGTTAAAGTCGGACCGGACAGAAAGCTAGAAAGCTCACCGGATCAACTGAACTGGGACCCAAATGCTTACCGGGTCACACTGTATTCGGAATTTCAGAGTGCATAGAGAATTATAGACATCAAAAGGGTATGTTCCTTATTTTTTTTTAAATGAAAAAAAGAAAACTTAATCTCTCTGTATCTGATATCAAGCCATTTAACATGTTAAAACAAGGTTCCAAGTATCATAAATGCAAAAAGTATTGGAAGGTCAGGATACGCATGCATAAAAGCCCCAATTCCTCTTTCCCTTTCTCTCTCTTCTTCGTCCCTTCTCTGAAACTTTTTATTTTGTGCTTGATCTTTGATGTACAAAAAGCCCCTTTCAGATTTCTCCAACGATCAAAATAAATAAATAAATAAAAATTCTATGTGGCTCTAGCCACAATCCACACCAATCGATAGAAAAGTTCTATTAATTGCTCTCATTCTATCCATCAATATTTTTATCTTCTATTAATTTCTCTCGTTCTATCCATCAATATTTTTATCTTCTGCAAGCGAGAAGCCAGATTAAGATGATAATCGACAGGATAGCATCTCCAACCATCAATTTCAACTTATTCTAAAGCCACATCTTCTGTCTCAATTGTTAGTCTATAAATTATCTGCTTGGAAAGGTTTTCTCTTTTACCCGCAAGGAATTCAAATTTTTCCAGAGTTCAAAACCTTTTCAATATTGTTCATAGAAACATATAAATTATTCTCCTCCCAATTTCTCTCTCTCTCATTAACTCTCATATTCAATCATCAACTCCTAGACCATTCTCCAATTTCATGGATTTTGAATCTAAACTTTAGGTTTTCTTTTTTCAGTGGATCTTTGCCGATAAATGTTAAAAATTGATCATTAAAATTTATTACTTATAAATATTAAAACAAATTATTTTGTCTTTCTTAGATTTAAGATATACACATGATTTAGTCTATCATTTTTTTTTTGTATTAATAGGATATTAAATAATATGGAGAGGCAGAATGTATATGAAATCTACATGACCTTACCACAAAGAGCTTTACACAGGTTTGATCTCACACCTCCATTTTACGAGAGATGCTGAGTTAACATGTGTATAAGGTATTGATTGGAGTAAAATGTTGTGTGGAGGAATCTCCCAAACAGCCCAGGCTATTTTTAGTATGACATATCCATACATCAGCTCCCTTCAACAGACTACATATTCATTTATACCATGGACCGTAGCTTGCATTGATTCAACAAGCTATGCTAGTAACAGTTAATTTGAAAATGAGGAATCAGGCATTCCCAGAACTCCAAGGTCATTCACCAACCAATCCGGATCTCTAATCCACAAAGTATATGTTTGGCATTGATGCTGCAGATACAGCACCCTTTTCTGAGTAAACGGTGCTGTTGATGTGTGGGTTAGAAGCACTGTCTTTTTTTGGAAACATTGCTATTAGGTAGGACGTTTCCTGGAGCAACAACAATGTTTTATGTTTGGTACCAATGTTCTAGGAAATGTTTTCAGTATGGGTATCTATTATCCAGTGCCACATCATGTCCCTGCCACTGCCACCTCATGTCCTAATTGATAGCAACGAACTGCAATTTCGGTAAACGCCAAATTTGGCATTGCTCCAAGTTATGCTTTTCCGATTTTCAATACATAGCTTGAAACACCATTTTTTATGAAAAAACGGTTCTAAACAAATAAACATTTCCTGGAATACCGTTTTTTTTTTGTGACATGGCATTGATGTATGCTGTTTTTTGGAGCAACAGCATCAATGCCAGACGCAAAGAATCCTACCCACCACAACACTATAGTTGTACATCGGGAACAACACCCCATGAATGGTAATAATGCAAATATGTTCTTAAGATTACATTTCTTTGAGATACAAAATTACAAACTTCCAACCGGAGTACATAAGTACTTCAATTCGGATTTATAAGTGTTTATTTGCCATATAAAAATGCAATAATTAAGGGGGGAAAATGTTTTTTTACCATTTTCATATCATGAGGAGAGTGCATTATTATATCCATTCAAAGGACACCGTACAGCCTTTTGTATCCGAAACAAAGAATAGAACAAAATGGACTTACAATTATGGACCATTTTTGCATCCATGAATCCAAGAAAAGGATATATGTAGAATACATATTTGCATTTATATCACAAACAAACGCAGCTTAATGTGCAGCTGTAGTGATGTGTGGATGATTTTGTTTTACAAAGCATAAACTGTCTAGCAAAAATATATTGATTGTGATAGTTGTTTTGCTTTGAAAAACAAAATCATTTATATTGCCGATGCCCCCACTAGCTCCAGACGGATTCATCATTCATGAGAGTTCACTTTCTTTACTCTCCCTGTAAAAAGGAGGGTATGCTCCTTTCAACTCCTCCTTTCCACGATAGGGTACTACAACCACTGAACCACATCACCCATGTTAACTAGAGAAGACAAGGGCAATGAGATGTATCATCCATGGTAGGGCCATGTTTGGTTTGCTGCTCTGGGCTTCATTCGTTTAATTCTTATTCATTTTGGGCATGAATGAGAAAGAATAAATAACATTATAGCATTTGATTACAATTTACAAAATTCTTACCATGAACCTTATTCTTTTGAAAATGAAAAACCAGCCCATAACACAAAAATTGAGATAACTTACAACATGAGAAATAATCACTCTCCATCTTACTCGTTTTCATTCTTTAAAGTAACTCTATGCTAACCATCATAAACCATGGACCTAGGTCTACAAAACCAACGCCAGATTGTCATAAAAACTTATGCTGACAAACATTGACTGACAGTCATCTGCCCGTAAACATCTATGCCAATGGTTTAGCAACATAACACACTTCCAATTTGATAAAAAAAAAAAGCGTTAGCTTCATAGCAATATTTTCTCATTCCACCCATTCTTGTCAAAATAGCAAATGTAACCTATCAAGCCTTATCGGCAGGCACGTCTTGTAAACTTGTAATCACATCCAACCATCAAATCAAAATTAAAAGGAATAAAAAAATGAACCAAAGAGCAAAATTTCTCATTATATTTGACTCAATGATGATTAGTCACTGCAGCCGATTGCAGTCAAGACATGTCGGACCCCAGCAAACTGCTCTCTATGGGATTTCATTGCTCCTACTATTCTCTATCCATTTTTTCCCTTCCATCAACAACAATAATGACAATGGGTTTCAAGAAGATTATGTACTCAAACCACCCATTGTGGCTGTGGATCTCATTCAGTCTTCTCTAATCATCATTCCGCATCTCAGTAACCATACCCTGATAATACACACAAGTCCAAGTTAATTAATCCAGCCAGGAAAAACAAAAGATACGGCTAGAGAACTTGTAAATGCGACTTTGGGAAAACAAGAAATCAAGTAAAATATGAGATTAGGTCATTAAAAGTCCAAAACCTGAATTGTCCATGGGATTCCCAGCTGGCATTGGCTCAGGCTCCTTGATGTCAACCACCACAACATCCGATGTGAGGAAGGTCCTTGCCACAGAGGCTGCATGCTCCAAGCAACATCTCACAACCTAGTTTTGAAAAAACACATCCGTTAGGACATAGAAGAACTTATGAATAACCTTAATCACATGGAAACTCAAAGATTAACAAACTTGCTTTGATTATCGCAACCTTGCCTACATGAAAAACAATATAACCCGGTCCCAACAACATGCTGTAAATATATGAAAGCATATGCAGCAACCACAAATCCCTAGTGTTAAGTTGTGATGGAAGGAAAAAAAGAGGGTCCAAGAAGCTATAAAGCCTATAAAACTAACACTGGCAAGCTAAGGGGTTGCCAGTGTTGTCATAAAATGTAAAATTTCATTATGAATTATAGCCCATGCCTTTTCGTCTTGTATTCCTAATATGAAACAAGATGGAACAACCTATTTTCTACATCCCTTGGAATAGATGAATATAGTAAAGCAACTTACTTTGGTAGGATCGATTATTCCAGCTGCCATCAAGTCCTCATATTTCCCAGTTGCAGCATTGTAACCATATTTCGGATTGTCACTGGACAGCACCTGAAGAATGGAACACAACAAATCAGCTATTTGATCACGGATAAAACAAGACAAATTTTCTGACAAGCTAGACCCGTGTGTCAATACCTTCTCAATGACCACACTTCCATTGACACCAGCGTTCTTGGCAATCAACTTCAGAGGGTAGCTCAAAGCCCTTTTAACAATGTCTGCCCCAACCTGCCAACAATTCATGGTAACCTGAGTCAGAATATTCACAAATCACAAGAAACATATGAGTTTTACCTCAGACAAGTTCACAAATGGTTAAACATGCATCACCTTTTGCTCATCATCATCAAGAGTGTCCTTTATAGAATCAACCTTTGCTGCAAGCCTCAACAGGGTGCACCCACCACCAACTACAATGCCTTCCTCAACAGCTGCCTGGGAACCATAATAAGGTTTATGGCATAATTGTGGTAACAACAGCATGTAAAATAATAAAAGACCCCATTGTAAGAGCTCTTGTAAAATTGGTTTTGCTCAAAGTCCAATACCTTTGTTGCATTAAGAGCATCTTCTACTCTTAATTTTTTCTCCTTTAATTCAGTTTCCGTTTGCGCCCCAACCTGTATGTTCATTACAAAAATTAATAAACACAACCATCTAAAAACTCACTCGATCAACCCAAAGCGTCATCCTCATTTTAAAGAAACACTTGAAAATTACCTGAATGACAGCAACACCACCTGAGAGTTTCGCAATTCTCTCGTTAAGCTTTTCTTTCTCATAGTCTTGTTCTGCAGCCTGCAACAACCATTACCAGGTAAAGGAAGTTCCAATACAGGCAGCAAAAAAATAAATAAATAAATAAATAAACTAAGAATCTTGAAATTCTAGGAAATTCACCTCAATTAGGTTCTGGATCTGAGCAACTCGCTTATTTACTGCTTCCTGTGTACTGCCATCACCAACAATTGTAGTGGCATCCTTGGTAAGCACAACCTTGGCAGCATGGCCCAAGACCTCCTTTTCAGCTTTGTCCAGAGCCAGACCAACCTCATCTCTAATTACAGTTGCTGCGCCAAGTACAAAAAAACTCTCAGGGACTTGGAATAGGTCATACATGTCTCAACTTCCCCAGTGGTGACCAAAAATGTGCAGAAGCAGAACCTATAATCCATGTATAAGAACTAACCTCCAGTAAGAATAGCAATATCATCAAGGTATTGACTCTTGCGTTCTCCAAATCCAGGAGCTTTCAGTGCAGCAATCTTCAATGATCCCCTGAGCTTGTTCACAACAAGAGTTGCAAGAGCTTCCTGTTCAATATCTTCAGCAATTATCAAGATTGGGTATCCCCCTCTTATAGCATCCTCCAAAACATTGATGAGATCCCTTGCATTTGTGATCTTCTTGTCAACAAGAAGCAACTACATAAACAATGACATCAATCAGCCAGGATAATAGATACATAGACAGGCCTATACGGTTAAATGTGCACCAAACAGTAAACTTCATGGCACAACCACATACCTTGCAGTTTTCATATTCAACTGCCATTTTCTCACTGTCTGTGACAAAGTAGGGGGAGATGTAGCCACGGTCAAATTGCATTCCTTCCACAACATAGAGGCTGTTCTCTGCACTTTTCCCTTCTTCAAGAGTGACAACACCCTTCCTGCCCACTTTACTCATAGCCTCAGCAATCATATTTCCTACTTCATAGTTATTCCCAGCACTAACTGCTGCTACATCTGCTAGTTCACTGTCTTCGACCTGCAAAAAAATATATATATTATAAGCACAGTCAACCTTGTACTCCATAGCACATATTGAAAATCCTATAGAAAGAGTATTTAGGAAACCAGTTTAGATAATTATGATGATAATAATCACAATTTGCAATATAATAAAATATGAAGATCATTTGTTATTTCACTTTTGACATCATCATCTCAGCCTTGTCCCAACCATGTGGAGTCAGCTACAAGAAAAAAATGGCATCAATGTAAAATGCAAATTATATTTACACTGGTAATCATCTCACTTTACCTCTTTTGACATTAATTTGAGCTCAGCAACTAGAGCTTTGGCGGTCTTCTCTATACCTCGAGTAATTTGAACAGGGTTGGCACCGGCTGCCACAACCTGATTGTACCAATCCCTGGTTAGTCCTTCACAAATAAGCATTGTTCATTATTCAAGCTCTTAAAGAAAATAAAGCAAGAGCTATGTCTGACCAACCTTTACACCTTCAGCAATCAGACCTTGAGCAAGAACAACAGATGTTGTTGTCCCATCACCAGCCAAGTCATTGGTCTTTGCAGCAGCTTGCCTCACCAACTTAGCTCCAATATTCTCAACAGGATCCTCTAGCTCAACCTAAAGACCAGTAGGATGAAGGAACATTAGCAGTGATCAGCAAGCGTCAAAAGAGAATTTCATTAAACATCAACAAAGTTTTAATAGTAAATAATACCTCCCTAGCCACAGTAACACCATCATTAACAATTTTGGGGGAGCCATATTTGCTCTCCAGGACAACATTCCTCCCCTTCGGACCAAGGGTGACACCAACTAGGTCTGCAAGCTTGTTTACACCCGTCTGCATTGTGACAGAAGGGGGAAATTAAAGATAGGAAATGCAGGAATAACCTTTCCATGAGAAGAAAACTTGACTAGCATTTAAAAGCTCACTTGCAGTTTCTTAATGGCCGATCCATCCTTGTTGAAATACAACTCCTTAGCCATAGCCATTATCTTAGGGGATCTTCTTGAAAGGATCACATTCTGTCTCCTTCCACCAAGGGAACTCGAAGAAATGGAGGCAAAAGAAGATAATTTTTCCAAAGAGCTGGAAAGTTTCTTATCCACTGCACGGTTGCCTGCAGCCGCTAGGGAACCAACAGAAGATATGGTGGCAATAGTTGATGCCATTTACTTTTAACAGACCTGTATCGTTTCAGTGTCAATTTACTTGAAAAAGACCCACCTGAGATTACTAATAAAACAAACACCTATAGAAATGAAAACCAACAAACAGGAAAGCAAAGAAATATTGGTTTCAATTACAATGAACTTTTACTGCTAACTTCTCTCATTACCTAAACAAATATCCAATTCAGTCCAGTACCCAGAAGACTCAGAATTACCAACAATAATGGCCTTTTTTGGTCAGTTGGTTATTCCCCATTTATTAGATTGCTGTTTTTTTTGACAGTCCATTCACCCTCTATTTCTCGAAGGAATTCCATTAACACCTTTCTTCTCTCAATGTGCATTCGTACTTATTAGTTATCAGAAAACTCTGCTAAACATTCAACGCTCACTTGTCTATAGAATTATTCACAATAACATACGTTGTCAAATTGCCAGTGTCACATTTTATAATAATAAGTTCAGATAATGCAAAAGTAGAGAGAATGAAGAAAATATCTCCCGTAGCTTATTACTGAAATTTCTATTTCTTCAGAATTTCCTAGAAATTAAACTCTAATTCACACAAAACATCAAATTCAAAACTGAAAAAAAAAAGCAATTCGAATTCTTTTGGTAAAAAGGATTTTCATTAAAACAAAAACGAAGGAACAGAGAGACAAAAGATACACCAACAACGACCCCCTACAATATCCTTACGGACATCCGAATTGAAACTTTGGCAGAAAATAACATCAAATTGATATGACCAAACGACAAATGGAAAATAAACAAGCAAAAACTCGTATTTTGGTCCAGTCTAAACATAACTAAGCTTTAGACAACAAATGCGAATACTTAACAAAGCAAAATCGCAAAACCCCTAAGACATGGTTGAAAAGGCTCGGACAGGAAAACCAGAACCATTACCAGGAACTCAGAAAGCTTACCTAAAAACCAGTTTTGAGGATAGAGCTAGGGTTTTACAGTGGTGGGTGGGTGGATAAGTGTGGCGTGGCCACTCTTCTCACTTTCTCAGTTCTCACACTCTCAGGAGTCAGGTCTCAGCTGAAGAAGAAACTCCGGGCAACTCAGAAACGAGAGGAGATTGGATGGGGATGGTTTAATAAAATGATAAGGGGTTCTGAATCAATGGAGTGGACGGGCTCACCTAAGCACGAGTTTTAAAGCGTCGGATTGGAATTCCTAATTTTCGGTTTCGATGCACTTGGGTTATAGCTGTTACCTAGATTCTAATACGACGGTCGATGTATCGTTCTTTTAAAAGCACGTGCTTTCCAAATCAATTTATTAATTCTTGAAGCTTCGTACAGATCTAGGCCGTTAGATGGAAAATCAACAGTACCCTTCTTTGCACACTGCACACATGGAACAATCTAGAACATCTCTGCTCTATCCTCGATTGTGTGAACTCAACCCTCGAAGTCTCAATGCACGAAGAGCAGGAGTGACGCTTGCACGGATGTGGGTGGGCCGTGTGTCCAATCCACACATTTATTCCATTCCCCGCCAACCCCTTTACCAAACATTCAACTATAGCCCATCTAATATATGGCGGGTCCCATTTTTATAATGGGTCCCTGTCGATGGAATGTATTTTCTTGGCAGGAGATTCTAATTCTTATCTTTGTAACGGGATGTGGAGCGAATGATAACATCCTAAGGGTTATATTATACTAGTGTCCAGTGATAAAACACATGGAGCCCACAAATGAGGGTTCCCGATTGGTACTTGTACTTTGGGTTTATTACTGGTTCTTTAAATTTAAAATAGGATAATTTAGTAATTAATTTTTAAAACGTGTTAATTCAATACTTATGATTAATCAATTCATTAACTATTAAGTAACATTTAAAAAGATAAAAATATCCTTCGAATGTCATCTAATTCTCTTTTATCAACCATCTAAACATTGTTAAAAAATGAATAATCCCAAATTTTTGCCTCTCGTATTCAAGAAAGTTGGTGTCATAAGAATACCCATTGAGACATGACCCCAACTTTCTTTAATATAAGAAACAATGATTTGGGATCGTTCATTTTTTATCTATGTTTGGATGATTGATAAAGAGAATTAGATGATAGATGAAGGGCATTTTTGTTTTTTCAAATGTCACTTGGCGGTTGGTTAACGAATTGGCTAATGATAGGTATTAGATTGGCACGTTTTAAAAGTTTGAGTATTGAATTGTTGCATTCTAAAGTTTGATAACCAAAATGGCACTAGGCCCAAAGTACAAGGTACTAGTTGAGAAATTTTCCTATAAAAATAACTAAATGAATCCACTAATAATGGGTTTAATTGGTCTTTGTTTCATATCACTTGACAAAGTTGCAGTGGTGAGTTGGACACCAGTGATCGGAATCTATTCAAGATTGCCTTTGCCCAGTGAATAGAGTAGAAGTGTAAATCAGGTTGTGCCACTCGCAACCCGGCACGATTGTATGGGTCGTGTCAGGCTTGGGGTTTCAAGTCCATGGGCCGGGCTATGTCGCCCACAGCCCGCGTGCTTGACCTAGCACGACCCATATATATATATATAATATATAATATATAATATATAAATATTATATAATAATATATAATATATTAATAAAATAAACAATTGTTTTCAATTTTATTATATTATTTTATTTAATTATTGTATATATCAAAATTCGTATAAAATAAAAATTTTAAGATTTTTTTCAATTTTTTAAATAAATAGCTTTAGCCTAATCCACGACCCGACTTGGCTTAAGGCTCGGCCCACAGATTAGCCTAATTCGTGGCACAACACGATATGGCATGGGTCCGCATGGGCTTGGGCCATGAGCCATGTCGGGCCAACCCCCCAAAATATCACAAGGGAGGGAGGCATAACCCAAGACAATCCACACTTTGCGTAAGCCACACGCAGGTCGTGTTGTGCCGGCCCAACACAACCCATTTTACAATGCTAGAAGGGAGTTTTTTTTCCTCATCAAACAACCAAACATGCAAAGAGGTAATAGAGGGTAAGATTGAGATTAAAAAAAAAAAAACTTAAAACTGCACATGGAGGAGAGATCGTCTGTCCCTAGGGGACAGAAAAGTTTCTGTCCCTACCAATAATAATCAACCACGTCTCTCTTTTCTGTAAATTTCAAAATTAACGGAGTCCAGACCTTAACGGCAGCTGGACTCCAAAGCTTATTAATTTTAGTTTAACCGCCCTTTTTGGGATCCCGCTTTCCAAGTTTTTCTTCATTTTCATTTTTGTTCTGTTTTTTCTCCCTCTCCCTCACATCCAAAGTTCGCCTGCACCAACACCATCGCATATCGCCATTGCAATCGAGACACCACCATTCGTCTGCAGAAACAACCGGAGTCTTTCTTGACCACCGCTCATTCCCCTCGTTGGAGATCACCGGCTTCTTTTCATTATTCTTTCATTGTTGGGATTGGTTTTTGCCGATTGTAATGATGGAAGGATCCATGCGGAGGAGATCAAGGAAGAAGAGCTTAATGGAGATGACAGGTGACTGTGACGATGATGAAGAGGAAGATAGGGATAGGTGGTGGCATGGCCAATTCTGTGTGTTCTGTTCTAAACTAGACATCAGCGGAAGGAAGGCCATACATAATCCCAATTGCTCATGCTATATACCTCGTCTTCTCTTTAATTTCAAATTTTCAAATTCTGGAGTTTTGAGCTTCGCTTCTTTATTTTTTTTTTTATTTGTGTCTATACAATACACCATATAATATGCATGCCAATACAAAATTCAATACCCCATGAAAGAGGGTAACGAAACAGATGCCATTCTGAATTCATTAGTTTCTGCAATTTATTCTTCACATAATACAAGCTCTATTGTCTGTTCTACATGATTTAAAAACATGGTATATTTGTTGTTGTTGGCATATTGCAGTTTGTGGATTAAACATGGGAAAGGGCAACAAATTCTCGATTAATTAAATAAGTAACCAATTCAAAAAAATCTTAGTTTAAAATTTTGTCATTCAATAAGAAAACAAACACACAGCAATGTTTTGTCCTGTTAAGGCTAATCGATATCTAGATTACATAGTGGCACTATAAAGATAAAAATATCTGATGAATTGACCTTTTGGTTATTAATCTACAATGTCACTAACAAATTTTTGTGGATTCAAGTATTGTAAAGAAGAGCAAATTGAATGATGTATATACACAAATTACCCTGGTGTTACAGTGCCTCTGGTTTCTGTAGATGTGCTTAACATCGGTATGATTATATTGGACCTCAAAGTTCATCTCAATTGTTGGGTAAAAGTCCCAAGAGGGAGTAAGATTGAGGTAGACATAGTTGAATGAAGTCTTTTTGAAAGAAACAGGGATAATAAGATCGAATGCAAAACCTCACCACACCTTTGCAGCTTCAAATTACAAGTTTTAGGGGAAGCTTCTCTCTATTATTAGCAAGCCATGGAATATCATCTCCAATGTCCACCGATCCGTTGTGCTTGCAACTCATATATCAGAGAGAGAGAGAGAGAGAGAGAGTCATTATAACTTTCTTCTTCCATTTATAAAAAGACGCCATATATGGAAGATTCTTGTGTCTATAAATCATTTAATTTATGAGAAATTTAGAAGAAAAAAAAAACAACTTTACAGTGCAAGATTTTTCCAGACATGAAGATAGAGGGAAAAAGGAAGAAATTTTGAATCTTTAAGCCAAAATACTGCTGAAATGAACGTCGAAGATGAGCGGTGGAAAGATTTTGAAAGCTTGCAACGAACGAACGAACTCCTGTAGCTCGGCTCGCAAAGGCAGTGTTCTCCTATGATGATCTCCGGCAAGGGGATTGAGCGGTGGACGAGAAAGACTCCGGCTGTTGCCGCAGACAAATGACGGTGGCTCGATTGCAATGACAGTGTGCGATGACGTTGGTGCGGAACTTTCGTTGTGACGGAGAGGTAGAGAAAGTAGAACGAAAATGGAGAAGAGAAACTCGGAAAGTGGATCCCAAAAGGGCGGTTAAAACAAAATTGATAAATTTTGGAGTCCAACTGCCGTTAAGGTCTGGACTCCGTTAATTTTGAAATTTGCCAAAAAGAGAGACGTGATTGATTATTATTGGTAGGGACAGACGATCTCTCCTCCATGTCACGTTCTAATAATTGGTAGAGAATTAATAGATGGGAGGTTTTTGTTTTGAAAAATGAAGGGATATTTCAGTATTTAAATAAAATACCAGGGGAGGTTTAAGTCTTTTACGGTTTTACCCTTTTTTTTTTTTTTTTTATCGATTGAACTAAAATTGGAAGGATTTGCGGGATCTGGGTCTCAAACATGAGTTGTTGAGACAAAGATTAGTGGAGGAGGAGGTGCATTTCATCCATTTTGAGAGGAAGCCATCAATCGTTGCAACGACAATACCATCTATTGCTGAAGCCTAGGGAATGTTGATTTTCAGATCTAAACCGATGGTTCTTGAATGCCATTCAACAGTAGGGTGGGTCTCATGGTTGTAAATCAATTAAACCATTTTTCTTTAACTTCCTTATTAACAACTGATGCGCCGAGTGTTTTATTCATCTATTCTCAGATGCAACATCTTAGTAGTCTAGGAACTAACTGATGCGGGTAGATTTGGAGGAATTAATTACAGATCTATGTTATTAAACAGTAGCATGGTTAGTTGATAGCCATCCACGGCTAAAATAAGTCTACAGAGTGTAAGAGATTCCAATCGCTTGGGATTGGGAGGGAATCGGGACTATCGACCCCATTGGCGGATTTGGACTTTGACCAGCAATGGTGGGTCTCACTCACAAGATGAGCATTAGTTTTCGGACAGAAGAAAAGTGCCCTTGTGAGTTTGTTACTAGCAACGCTTTTGAACCGTCATTGACCTGGACGGTTGGATTATCTCAAACTTGGTATCTGGTAAAAAATCATTAAAAAAGTCAATAAATCGTTGACTTAGGCGGTCGAATCGTCGACCTGTTCAACGGCTTTGACCATTTATTTTACTTTTAATTTTGCTGTCAGACGGGACCATTTATTCTGTTTCCGGGTCATTTTTTAAAACGTTGGTTACTAGATCTCCATTGCCGGCAATTGGTGATATGAAAGACAA